ATGCTGCTTTTTTTAGAATCATCTGCATTTTTTTAAATGTTTTCCTCCGTCTGAAACCTGAACGCAAACTAACACTAAAGTTTATCACCACAGAGATATTCCCATTGTTCCTAAGGCTGGAATGGTTAAGAGTGATTTAAACTGCAGAGTTCAGATCTAGCTGCTGATGGTGTCTAGGGTCACAAGAGGTCACAGAGTGTGGTCCAGCTGAACCTGAGTTCCTGTAATGAGAGAGGCAGGTCGAATCGGAGGATACTGTCTAATCAAAGCTGATGTGTGTGTGTGTGTGTGTTTGCAGGTGTGTGTGGTGGTTCTGCCGATGGCCTCTGTAGCCGATCTGACCTGTGAGGCTCTGCTCATGCTGGCGGGAAACGTCTCAAGTAAGTCAGACACAGATGAGGTCTGAACGCTCACCACATCAGCAACATTGTGTGTTTCACTTTGCTCCTCCAAACGCATCTTCAGCCTCAGCAAACTGGCCTCGTGTGCTTCTTTATTTCCTAAACTATTATTAAACACAAGGAAAGACGCATTTTGCTCCAGAGCAGTTTAATAAAGTTTCCCCAGTAGTTCCTGGTGGACTGATACAAAAGTTGTGTTATCACACAGCGGGGAGTCAAAAAATTCCAAGTTAGTTTTATTTGTCCCAGTTTTATTTAAAAATGTTTCTGGCCTCATGTCCAGAGTGGACAAACCACAGAGCATAACGGAGCACCAAGAAGTAAAGAAAAACACGTGAGCAGTGGTGCCCTTAAGGTGTGGCCAGGGGGGCAATAGCAACCCAAGATAATAGCTGGCCCTGTCTCGTTGAAAGGATGGTTTGGACCCAAAATGCAGAACCCAGGATGACACGAGGCAGGAGTTGAAAATAAAGAAATCCTTTTATTGTAGGATGAGTTAAAAATAAAGAATAAATCCAGAGACTGGGAGCCAAAGTCCAAAAAATACCAGAGGAACAGGCAGAACTGACAAGATAAACCACACTGAGGAACAACACTGACAGCAACAATGAATGGACTAACACAGAGTGACAAGACAGGGCTTAAATGCACAGAGAGAACAATTAAGGAAGCAGGTGTGTGGAGTGAGGGCTGGAGGGAAGGCAGGTGACACAAATGATCTAAATGGGGAAAACAGAACTAATGGAGGGCAGATAAACCTAAACATAAAACTGAACCTAAGACTGAGGAAGGACTAACACAAACACACACACATACTGACACACAAACTAAGCCGGGGAAACAAGAGGCCGGAGCCACAACCGGAGGGCAGAGGATAACTAAATGAGCACAGGAGACACATAAATGAGACGCAGACAATAAGACACGAAAGGAGAACCTGGAGTGGGAACTGGAGGGGCCGGGGAACCAAGGGACACAGAACATGACAGGCCCCTCCATTGCACCCCCTCCCTCCATGGAAACTCTTTAAATAAATCGCATAATTAATGAATCCTCATTAATCAAAACATAAATGTAAAACCCTGTTAAAAGTTGTAGTTAATGAGTTATAAGTGAATTTATAATTTTAAAATATGTATAAATATGTATAAAATATGTATATGCATATGTATATATATATATATATATATATATATATATGCATATGTATATATATATATATATACATATATATATATATATATATATATATATATATATATGTATATGTGTATATGCATATGTATATATATGTATATGTGTCAGGATTTGATGTGGTAGGATGTTTTAGGACCCAAAAATGCAGAAAACCAGATGAACGAGGCAGGAGGTGGATGATGAAAATAAAATCCTTTATTAGGAGTAGTCCAAGAAGCAGGGAGCCCAAACCAAAAAATCCAAAAATCTAAACTGAGTAATCAAAAACTTCAGAGAACTAGAAACACTGGAAAACACTGGAATCACTAGAAGCTAGGAACAGGAACGAGACGAGGCTGACAAGAACAACAAGCAAACATTAATGGACCGACAAGAACACAGAGACAAGGAGGGCTTATATAGACAGGGAGGAGCAATTAGGGAAACAGGAAGCAGGTGTGTGGAGTGAGGCTGGAGGGAAGGCAGGTGACAACAATTATCTGGATGGGGAAGAGAACCAGTGGAGGGCAGATAAACCTAACACTATGTAAAACACAAAACTAAACCTAAAGACTAAGGGAAGAACTCACACAAACACATACACATACTGAGACACACAAACTATGAACTGGGGAACAAGAGGCTGTGGCTATAACTTAAGACACACAACAGAGATGCAGACAAAGGACACATGAGGGCGCTAAGAGAACACAAAAGGGAATCCAGAGAGGGATGGAGAAACATTAGGAGACACATGGGGAAAGACGCAGACAAAGGACACATGAGGGCGCCATGAAACACAAAAGGAGAACCTGGAGTGGGAACTGGAGGGCTGGGGAACAAAGGGACACAGAACATGACAGTACCCCCCCCTCAAGGGCGGATACCAGACGCACAAAACCAGAACAAGACAAAAACAGAAACAAAAGACAAAGACAAAACAGGACACGAGAGACCACAGGGCGGGAGAGGAGGGCCCGGACAAAAAACAACCCACAAGGGTGGGCGAGGAGGGTCCAGGGACCAGGGGACTCTGGGGGGCCGGCAACGGGGAACCAGGAGATGGGACCGGAGAAGTCTAGGGGGCCGGCGACGGGGAACCAGGAGACGGGACCAGAGGAGTCGTGGGGGCCGGCGACGGGGAACCAGGAGACGGGACCAGAGGAGTCGTGGGGGCCGGCGACGGGGAACCAGGAGGCGGGACCTGAGAAGTCTAGGGGGCCGGCGAAGGATCTCTGGAGACGGGGATTGTGACTGGAACACTTGCATCTGGGAGACTGGAACTAGGAGACCTGAGAGTTGGGAGAGTGGGACACTTGAGACTTGGGGAGAGTGGGACACTTGAGACTTGGGGAGAGTGGGACACGGAGACTTGGGAGACTTGAGACGGGGACATGGAGACGTCCACTTCAGAGCAGGGGCTCGAGACGTCCACTTCAGAGCAGGGGCTCGAGACGTCCACTTCAGAGCAGGGGCTCGAGACGTCCACTTCAGAGCAGGGGCTCGAGACGTCCACTTCAGAGCAGGGGCTCGAGACGTCCACTTCAGAGCAGGGGCTCGAGACGTCCACTTCAGAGCAGGGGCTCGAGACGTCCACTTCAGAGCAGGGGCTCGAGACGGGAGGCGTCAACCTCCAGCCTGGAGGCATTGACGTCTGGACCGGGGGCTCGTGGACGGGCTGGATGGGGGGCTCGTGGACAGGCTGGACGGGGGGCTCGTGGACAGGCTGGACGGGGGGCTCGTGGACAGGCTGGACGGGGGGCTCGTGGACAGGCTGGACCGGTGCGACCTTCAGAATCACCACTGGAACTAGAGACAGAAAAGACATCAGACCAGAGGCGACGTCGTCAGACGAGCCGACATCAGGGGAGCCAACATCAGGGGAGGCGACGTCGTCAGGCGAGCCGACATCAGGGGAGGCGACGTCATCAGGGGAGCCGTCATCAGGAGAGCCGTCATCAGGAGAGCCGTCATCAGGGGAGGCGACATCAGGGGAGGCGACGTCATCAGGGGAGGCGACGTCATCAGGGGAGGCGACGTCATCAGGGGAGGCGACGTCATCAGGGGAGGCGACGTCATCAGGGGAGGCGACGTCATCAGGGGAGGCGACGTCATCAGGGGAGGCGACGTCGTCAGAGGCGGCGGCGACGTCGTCAGAGGCGACGTCATCAGAGGCGACGACTTTGGATATGTCGTCATCAGAGGCGACGGCGACGTCATCAGAGGCGACGACTTTGGATATGTCGTCATCAGATGCGACGACTTCGGAACAGGAAGGGGCGTCGACTTCGGAACAGGAAGGGGCGTCGACTTCAGAACAGGAAGGGGCGTCGACTTCGGAACAGGAAGGGGCGTCGACTTCGGAACAGGAAGGGGCGTCAACTTCGGAACAGGAAGGGGCGTCGACTTCGGAACAGGAAGGGGCGTCGACTTCGGAACAGGAAGGGGCGTCGACTTCGGAACAGGAAGGGGCGTTGACCACCATCGACTTCGGGTCCAGATGGATGGGCTGGACCGGAGCCTCTTGGACCTCATCAGTCAAAGCAGGACGCGATGCGACCCTCGGGACCACCGCTGGAGCAGGACGCGATGCGACCCTCGGGACCACCGCTGGAGCAGGACGCGATGCGACCCTCGGGACCACCGCCGGAGCAGGAGGCGATGCGACCCTCGGGACCACCGCCGGAGCAGGAGGCGATGCGACCCTCGGGACCACCGCCGGAGCAGGAGGCGATGCGACCCTCGGGACCACCGCCGGAGCAGGAGGCGATGCGTCCACCGGGACCACCGCTGGAGCAGGAGGCGATGCGTCCACCGGGACCACCGCCGGAGCAGGAGGGTTGCGGCGTCGTCGGCGTGGTTTTCCTTGGCTCAGCTGAGGTATGGAGAGGACACTGGCAGGAATTGAGGAATGACAGCCCACCGGAGAGTAAGTGGTGGCGCTGTCAGGACCTGGTGAGGGTGTGGCGGTGTAACCCATCTGAGATGCTGAGGTGGCATGAGCGACTAGTGGAGGAGGATCTCGGCCAAAAGTGCGGAGGAGCAATGCAGCAAAGTCCCAAAACGACACCGCCCTAAGATCCTCTATGTCAAAGTGGTCAGCAACCCACTGCAAGGCCTTACCCCTCAACCAAAGCACCATATACGACACCTTGTCGAACTCTGAGGATTTCAAGTCCAAACAACGGGCACAGTTCCGAATGAACTCCACACAAAGGTCTGGATCACCATCGTAATAGATCTCCTGTGTACCTGGAGTTCCCGCTGGGTCCTGTGGGGGTCGGTCCATTCTGTCAGGATTTGATGTGGTAGGATGTTTTAGGACCCAAAAATGCAGAAAACCAGATGAACGAGGCAGGAGGTGGATGATGAAAATAAAATCCTTTATTAGGAGTAGTCCAAGAAGCAGGGAGCCCAAACCAAAAAATCCAAAAATCTAAACTGAGTAATCAAAAACTTCAGAGAACTAGAAACACTGGAAAACACTGGAATCACTAGAAGCTAGGAACAGGAACGAGACGAGGCTGACAAGAACAACAAGCAAACATTAATGGACCGACAAGAACACAGAGACAAGGAGGGCTTATATAGACAGGGAGGAGCAATTAGGGAAACAGGAAGCAGGTGTGTGGAGTGAGGCTGGAGGGAAGGCAGGTGACAACAATTATCTGGATGGGGAAGAGAACCAGTGGAGGGCAGATAAACCTAACACTATGTAAAACACAAAACTAAACCTAAAGACTAAGGGAAGAACTCACACAAACACATACACATACTGAGACACACAAACTATGAACTGGGGAACAAGAGGCTGTGGCTATAACTTAAGACACACAACAGAGATGCAGACAAAGGACACATGAGGGCGCTAAGAGAACACAAAAGGGAATCCAGAGAGGGATGGAGAAACATTAGGAGACACATGGGGAAAGACGCAGACAAAGGACACATGAGGGCGCCATGAAACACAAAAGGAGAACCTGGAGTGGGAACTGGAGGGCTGGGGAACAAAGGGACACAGAACATGACATATATGCATATATATATATATATATATATATATATATATATATATATATATATATATATATATATATGCACATCGTTTTCAAAAGAAAAGTATAAATCTCCATAGTTTTTGTGGAGACAGCAGAATGTATCAACCAGTTCAAAAAATAATTAAATAATAATACAAATAACTACTTAAAATGTCTTTCTCTGAATTGTTTGTGTTTCTGAAAGTTGAGGTAAATGTGTTTGAGGGCAGATTGTTTTTTAATGAAACTGAATGCGGAAGCAATGCATTGCTTAGCCACAGGCTAAACACCCTCCTCAGAGTTATAACAAGAGCCAAAGATCTACCACGCCAGACAAGAGCCAAGTGTAGCCCATGCAAAGAGGCCTCTGAGAGGGTCCGCCACGTGACTGCAGGGTGTAAGATGCTGGCAGGTAAAGCTTGCGTGGAACGCCACAATCAAGTAGCTGACATTGTATACACCATGGGGTTGGGGCAGCAGTAGCTCAACAGGTTGAGCGGGGTGTCCAGTAATCGGAAAGTCGCAAGGTTAATAAGGTTAAAGCACACTTAAAATCTGCTGACTAAAGTGTTGAACAGTGGTAAAAAAATAAGTGACACTAATATACAATAATTAAGTCATTCACTGCCGGCCGTTTCCTGATCGCTAACGGCCTTCTCTGCCAGCGTATCTCACCGTTTTTACTGTTTTTTTAAGAGTCACAGAACGTTGCGCGCTAGCATGATGTCGATGCCAAAACAACCAAAACAAAGAGGAGACTCACCTCTTACATCAGGAAGAAGCCGCGTGTTTCGAGCGTTATCCGTTCTTTCATAATCCGTTGTCGAATTGTGATCGGCAGACGCTTTTCCGGTTCGCGCCTCACTTTTTTACAGGAACGGCCCAAAACGATCTCCTAACACATGGATGTGTTGCTTCCTGATCATGTGATCTGTGACGTATGCGGATGAAGATCGGCTTCAGGGCTGAGATGTTTGTTCTCTCAGCGCGGGGGCTCGTTCCGATGCTCAAACAGTAAAAAAATGCAAATGACGACGACTTTAGTCGTCATTGGCAGTGAACGGTTGGATCTAAAATGTCGACTTTAGTCGTCAATGGCAGTGAATGAGTTAAAAGATTTAAAATAAATATACTAAAGTAAGTTGTAGCTCATCACCATCAGTGTGTGAATGTATGAATGATACACTGTAATGTAAAGGGCTTTGGAGTCCTCTGACTCTGAAAGGTGCTATTCGAGCGTGGGTCAGAAACATCAGACATCTCAGTCCAGCTAAGATACCGCGCAGAACCCTCGAGCTCCCGGGCCTCGAGCTTGGAAGGATGAGATCACCCGCAGAGGGTGAGATGTGATAATATATTATGTGTGTGGATGTGTGTGTGTGTGTGTGCATGTTCCAGGCACCTAAATTCTCATTCTTGAAAATCAGCATAAATCAGTGTAAACTGTGTAATTGACTAATACAAAACTAATGAGTGAAATAAAATGTGAAACATGAAATCCCCTCAGAGGTTATTTCAGCTGGAATATGATTAAGTCTCAGGCTCTTTTCTGTAATCCCAGAATTCCTGATCCTAGAAAAAATACTTTCATGTAGCTGTTTTGCATCCTGCCGATAGAAGCCATTAGTGTACAAATGAAACATGACAATTCCTCCAAACTAAAAGCCAGGATGCTTGTTTATTTCCTAGACGATCCGTGTTCTGATCCGACGCCCACACCGTCGGGATTACAGGAGCATTCCATCCTCCAAATGAAACACACAATGCTCTCATTTATTCCCAAATATCCCACTTAAATATTTCATTTATTTATATGATTTATTTATACACAATTTATTTATTATAATTTTTTTATTTTTTTGGCTCAATTTTCATTTTTTTTATTGACAAACTTGACATAAACAACAAATATGGTACAAATTTCCAGAACAGTTTTCATCTTGAAAATGTAACAGAGAATGCTACTTCTCAGTTCAAAGAATAATATGAGAAAATTACAGGTTGATTTGGGCTCAAATGAGTGGAGGACATTGCAGTTCAGCCGCCCTGCGTTTGAGCCGTAATGGCGTCAGTGACGCAGCACGAATCTTCTTTTAATTTTTTTTTATTAGTGAACATCAATCACATTACATTGTAACAACAACCAAAACTCAACAAAAAAAAAAAAAAGAACAACTCAGTAGATAAACTAAAACCTTATAACTATACCATTAGAAATATTCTAATAAGCAGAAACAACCGGATTTATAAGATTAACAAGACACGATAAATTTTATTTACACACGATAGTTTCTGTTTGAGGTTTCTGGGAACTTAGAGCTGAAGTAAGCCGACCTCTGGGTTCAGACTGATATTTTAGATAAAAACCAGATAAAAGAATAAAAATAGGTGATCCTGGTAAAGCCCTTGAGACATGTAATATACAGTAGTTTTCAGTGTTGGGCAAGTTACTCCAAAACTGTAATGCATTATTTATTACTTGTTATCCTCATTTTAAAGTAATTCATTACATTACAATATTACTGATTTTAAAATGTAAGGCATTACACTACTTTTGCATTACTTTAAGTTACTTTTACCAGTACAACTTCAATATGAATCTGGTAATGTGACGCTCAGTGAGCTCATGACATATATGTGGAAGGTGATGTGGTATCTGAGCTAGGGTTGCTGTTAAAAACAGTCAGATATAATAACAGTGCTTTCAAATGATTGTTTATTAAATAAACAACAACAATCTGTACTCTCAGCATGCTGCCATCTTATATTAACTGAGCAGGGAGTGAGGTGGTGGGGGCTCCAAGCCTACATTTGCCTTGGTCCCCAAATGCCTTGATACGGCTCTGGATGTGGGACTGACTTCTGGGGAGATCTGATTCTATCATATGTATAAATATTAAATGCTTATATATTATTGCTTTTCACTGGTAAAAATGTGTATTGGGGATAAATCTACCTACTTTTTTCTTTTCAAGCACTTTGTTTTTTTTTCTTGATTTTATTTGAATAATTTCCTGCCCTTTCTCTCTAACCTTCCTGCATGCTGCATGTTTTCTCCGTCTTCCAGAAAAACTGTTTCCTAGACTTCCTACTTTCTAACGATCAGCCAAAGGGATCTTCACATGCGCAGCGCTCCAGCAGTAATCAGTTGAACTCAGCTGAGGCAAAACACGTCAGAAAAGCACAAAATACCAGAGAATATGCGCTGATATGAACGATCGCAAGTGAATTATTTTGTTTTAGTGGAGCGATTTTGTGAATGTTACAGCGGCCGCGTGCAGGACGCAGCTGGAGTAGTTGAGCCGTTACCGCTGCGTCCTCTCTGCCCGCAAAGCTGAGTCCATAAATGACGTAATATATGCAGATACTGGATCTTTCTTCCGGTTTCCCGCAATTTGAATTTTTAAGGAACACATCTTGATTCTGGGTTTAAAAATGCATTGTAATTACCGCGTTACTGACAATTGTAGCGAGTAAATATTACCATTTTCTTTCCCTGTAATGCCTTACATTACCACATTACAGCAAAAAGCAATGCATTACAGTAATTAATTAGTTTTGTACCGCATTACATGTTTTTCCTATATCCCATATCTACGTGTGAAAACATCGGTTACAGAGAATGGGACAAAGGCTTAGGGCTGGCTGCCACCTTTGCCCGACAGAACATCCTAATTTCCGGATCTTCTTTACCCAAATCCTCCTGAGTTATCACACAAATAATAGCCTGACCCCTGGAGCATGTCTACATTCATATTTGATGTGGTGTTATTACGTGCTCACACTTGCACTGTAATGCCAAGCATTTGTGGCTGTTAAAGCAAATGTGAAAAGGGGTTTTAGGTGTTTGCTGATGATGTTGTTTCTGTTTGGAATGCAGTACAATCCCTGGTGGCCTCCTGGAACCAAACCCTGAGCAACGCCACGAGCCAGTGGAGCGGTGAGTTGGACACGCCAAACCTCTCAGATGTGTGAAACCGATTCCTCACCAAGTCACAACAAAGCAGAGTCACTGTGGAATACCCCACAAGGGAACAAGTCTGATCCGAACTCAGATTATTAAAACTAACATCAAAGACATGAGCAGAGCTGGAAATAGATTCGGCGCTGGAGACGACGCTCCGCTCAGACAAACAAAGCGCAGGAGTAATCATTAAAACCTGTACACACAAACAGCACATTCAGTTCATTATCACAGTTCCACACACAGTCATATCTGTCCTGAACAATGTCCGTGTCTGACTGATGTCTCTCCTCCAGGTTCAGGGGTCTTCTGCGAAACCTCCATTGATGGTATCGGTACGTGTTGGCCCAAGAGTGGCGCCGGCCAGCTGGTGTCACGACCTTGTCCCGAGATGTTTTATGGTGTCAAATACAACACCACAAGTAAGTGTGCCCCAAGTCTACATCAATAGTATGAAAACACGTTCTGTGGTTACCGAAATTAGCAATTCCTTTGCCAAAGCATTAGGAGAAAACACAATGAACGCAATAGAGCAGAAGTAGAGCAGCGTTCAAATGAAAACAAATCTGCTGTAAAATCAAGCTTCTGTCTGGATTAAAAGGTGTGAAAATACCATATATGTGCTATTTCTGCGATGGCCTATACCTCCCAAAGTCTGAAAAGTGTCTAAGGTTTCTTCACTTGACTTAATTTTGTGTCTTATATAAAATTTTTGTAGCCTAAATAATCAATAATCCAGATGTCATTGATGGTGTTATCTGATAGGAAACATTATAACTCATCTGACCTTGGTGTCTAATCCAGCACGCTGCTGCATCAGACTAATGGCAGCTGCAGCTAATGACACTTAGATGCTGATGCCGGCTTTATGAGACTGAAATGTCAGCTGATGTTAGCAAATCAGAGGTCAAACCGGCTGCCTCTGAGTCTTAAGTGCATCCATATCACAGCCTTTATGGTAAATGCCTTGAAATGTCACAGAGGGAGCACACAGGCAGGATTACCTGCTTCACTGATTACCATTTTGTTAGCTTCTCTTTGGTTAGATTAGCATGCTAAATCCAGGATACAGCTTCTATTAGCAATCATTATGTTTACACTGATAGTTTCTGGATCTGAAGTTAACCATAGCATCCCCAACAAGGTCATCTCCACAACTGAAGCATTAATGATTCATCACTCTCTGTTTATTTAACTTTGGCCATAGATTGGCCCACCAAACCAACATAGCACTGTGATTGGCCCAACAAACCAATAGAGCACTGTGATTGGCCCACCAAACCAATAGAGCACTGTGATTGGCCCACCAAACCGACATAGCACTGTGATTGGCCCAACAAACCGGTAAAGTGGTGTGATTGGCCCAACAAACCAATAGAGTGCTGTGATTGGCCCAACAAACCAATAGAGTGCTGTGATTGGCAAGACACAAGGCTGGTCTGGCCAGCTGAGGCTCCTATGGCGCGTGCTGAACTGGCCTGCAAAGCAAAATGGTTTTGCTTCTGCTACAGACTGCCTAGATTTCTAGTTTTCCCCTGCCACAACACACCAGATTCAACACCTGAATTGTTAGTTCAGCAGATTCTCAAATCCAAAAGAAACTTGTTACCGAACCACAGATTCTCGCCAGGTGTGTTGGAGCAAAGAATCATCTAAAACATTCAGAATAGTTTTTATTTGTGACTTTTGTCTCTACAAGCTGTTAGGCCACCCTTAGCCTGATACATGACCCACAGCTCACACGTTCCTGTCTTCTTGCTGTTTCATGGCTGATAGAAAAACTTCTGGTCAGAGCTGTGGCTGAAAGCAGCTGTGAGGAAGAAAAGATTCAGACTAACTACGGAGCCCTGACACACAACACCTTACCATTGGTCTTAATAGAACATTTTTTATTCAATAATTGTGCTTCAAGCTGTTGAAGCTCATTCTTATGAATTGAAAGCAGACTGATAACATCAGTATCACCCAGCCATGAGGCTTTTATTTGTGCTCTAATTCACTTGTTGTTTTTTAAATCTCTGTCCAAACGAGAAGAGTTAACAGGAAGTTTTAGAGCAGCTCAGAGTTTGGAAGGTTAAATCAACAAACCGGATTTAAAGCCAGAAGAGGATAGAGTTAACCGTAACCTGCTGTTGCTCAAGAGCATCAAAGGGGAACAGGGCACTTTTGGCTTGGTTTTAGCACCCCCTAGTGTCTGTTTGTAGAACCGAAAGCAAAACCTATCTCCCCGCTGTGCGTTCATCTTTTTAACACCATAATCTAATAGCTGAAATGCTTCTCCATCTTTCATTAGTGTCTACAGGAGTGATTCATCACTAAATTAAACAAATAAGCTGTGTTCATGATCTAAAACATGCAGTGCTGGAGCCAGACTGCAGCGCCAGGTATGTCAGCTCCGTTTTTTCTTAGTCCCAACAGATCAACCCACCAGTCTGTTGTTGCAAGGGAAATATTTTGTCCACAGGGGGCAATAGGGGGTGGGTGGCCTTTCATTAACCCTGTAAAGCATCATTTTAGCACACACTGGCTCAAGAAAACGATTTAAAAATATGAATCCATTTAAATAATAAGCGCATATATTTAATGGTGTCCTTGAAAAATCTTTTTTTACAATCAAAAATAATTCTTTGAGCCTCTATAAAGAATTTGGAACTATGGTGGCCCAGGAGCCCTGCTAAATAACAAGATACAACCCCAAAATGAGGGCCTGCCTGCAGCTTGGCCTATAGCTGTCTACAATATCAACACAGATGACTGACATTCATTCAAAGTCTGGATGTTTTCGGTACGTCCTGGAACGTTACGCTTGAGCTCCAACATTCTACTTTGTTGTTTTCCTCTCTTCCAACAAGGATGCTAGCAGTAGCTCGAGCCAATGTTGTTCTGTGGTTAGGATGATTGTGGCCAGCTTTATATTGCTGACATTGAATTGGGTTGGGGCATGCAGATTTAATGAGGTAAGATTAAAACAAACCATTTCTTAGCCGCCTTTACAACACTGCTTACTTAGATAGGTAAGAGTGTCAGAAAAGGCAAAGACACTTATTTATGCCACATTAGACACCAAGCTGTTTGTATTCAACAACAATAAGTGTTATCCCTTAAGGACCATGGTGATACTGGTGTCACAGCCCATTTCAACCATCTGCAAAATTGCTTCTTGAGTCATAAATTCAAGTTTGACAACCCCAAGTGACATTCCATCCCTACATATATCAAAAACTATTTTACTGCTTTATTTTTTTCTACATTTTAATGGATTTATTCCAATCTGTTTTCTGTTTCAACAGGGTTTGAGTTCTTAAGGGTTAAACTCTATGAAATAACTTGTTGTACAATGATATCTTAAACGCAACATATTTTAATTCAGGTTCTCATTTCTGAGTTTGCTTTCACTTTACTGAAATTTGTGACAAAATAGTCTGAGTGAGAACAGATTTTTGGATCCCGTCAGGAACCCTCATAACTGGAACTCTGTCTGAAGGAACAACAACCAACACCCCTAAACCCACACACTCAGGTGGGGTGGATGTTAAGAGCATCTATAGGAGCAGGCATGCAGAGAAGGTGCAGAACAGTCTAAAAGGGCAGGCAGCCATGAAGCAGTTAAACGTTTTAGGGGGCCAAATGTGAAGCAGCTGGAAACAGTGCTGGTCCTAGGGCTGCTCGATTATGGCAAAAATAATAATCACGATTATTGTGACTGAAATTGAGATCTCGATTATTTAAGACATTTTTTCAATTTATGTTGATTTTATTTGTTTTTATTCTGTCATAAAATTGCTCAGGGCACAATCAGGACAAAATTAAATAAGAAACAAGATGATCACTAAAATAACTCCTGATTCCCAGTATAAAAAGACCAATATACTTATAGCTCATAGTTTATGACCCAAGGGCTACAGACCTTGGTTTAACTCATTTAAGTCTAACCAGTACAGACCCAAATACCAATATCTTGCAAATACTGACAGCAAGAATTATACAGTGGCATTCATAACAAATAAATGCTACTAAATTGATGTTCATAAAATGTTTTATAACATTTGTTTAGTCATGTCAAGGTGCTAGGAGAGTGCAGATTAGTTATTATTTATCAGCGTGAGGAACTTATTTCTATCTATTTCTACCTTATTTATAAACTATTTATTTACAGGTCCATCAGTTAATGTAATAATTGTCCCAACCACAGCTGCACCCCCCAACCCGGTTTCACTGCAATCATGGGCAAGCTGTACGTGCATTTAGTACGTGCACATTTAGCTGTTTTTAGCGGCTCAGGAGCCCGCAGTTACGGTGTGTGTCACTCACTCTGGTTAATCCAACAGGAAGCCGGCTCTGAGAGCCGTTTCTTTAGCGACCGACACATCACTGCATCATTCCCTTTCCTAATTTCCTGAAGAACGGTCCAGAGCGCAGGCGGAGTGTTTAGCTAACCTGCAAGAAATGTCAACGACAGTTATCCAGAAAGTAGCTAAGGGTTACCAGAGATGTTTCTGAGGTGTTCGCTAGGTACTTTTAAGATTTAAAAAGTCAAGAAGGGGGTCTGAAAAGCTGCTAGAAATACTCAGGGCAGCGCAAGTGGGAGGAGCAAATAATTGGCTTGTTTTGTTTTTATAATCGTTCAAAACTCAGATTGTAATTGGGATTAAAGTTCGATTAATTGAGCAGCCCTAGCTGGTCCAGGATCAGACATGTCCACTTGGACTTACATGTCTAGAGACTAAAATGGGATATCCCTCTCCAAAAATTTGACAAGTCATAATGAGACTTGAAATAAAAAGTTCCAGTTGCTCACTTAAACTTAATTTTATAAACTTGGTTTAGTGACTGTGGTGGACAAAACCTCACAAGAAAGTGTGTTTCTTTCCGTAATTAGACTCCCCGGCACCGACCGCATGCTGAGCGTTTGTTTGCTGCTCATAAATCTGTCGGCCGTGTTTGACCCAAAAAGTAGCTCATGCATGTGTGAGATAAATAACTGAATAAGTGATGCTGCATGTGGAGAGTGTAATGTTCAGGCTATAGAAAATATAAAATGTCATCGCTTTTCTCGCTAATTTAATTCAACAGCGGTCACATTCAGGACGCTCCCGAACCTCTCTGGCTAAACACAAAGTTACAGAATACCTGAGGAGGTGTCGTTATCCTGCCGAACGGAGCTTATAAATGGGTAAAACCTGAAACTGATCCCAGCTTAGACACACGTAGAGTTCGGTAAAACCTAGATCTGGCTATCTATTACACATTTTAAATGCAATTAATCACATGAGTTCCACAGTTAACTCGTGATTAATTACAATTACTGGTAAATTATTGGTGAATTTTAAATGTAAAACAACATGATGTTTTTGCATCTTTCTGATGCTCCTATAAGTTGTAAGAGTAGACAAATGTTCTTCCTTAATGCAACTACATGCTC